AGATCTCCGTATAAGCGAGCTTGTCTGCTTTCGTGTCCTGTACGCCAATTCCGCAATGAACCCAATAACGTACGCATTTCGGAGCCAGGAGTTTCGCTCTTCGTTTCTCAAACTCCTCGGAAAACTCGTTCCTTTTGCACGTAGAAATATTACTAAAAAACCAGCAAACCAAAGTCAAGACTGTGAGATGGACTAGCGAGGGCCAGTTTACCACTTGAGAATAAACTCCCGGTATTCCATAAGATATGATAATACTAAAACAGGGATATTAAAGATATAAATGTATCTATTGCCAGTTGGGGTATTCGGACAGGGTGTGTTATGGATAGGTGAACTTTACGAGTAAAAGTCCAGTAAGAGCTAGGCCTATTTAAAACAATAAGTTGAAAACGTTCAGGAGAGATATTGCGAGAACATTTCCACGGGCACTAGGATAATATTTGTAATATCCTTTGGATTTGCCTATTTTGTAGCCTCGTGTGATAGACTGTTGTAAATGTACATTGTTAAGTTTCACAATTGTCACATTTGTAGGTATCATAGACTCGACTTCCTCGGGTTAAGTTTCAGTTTTGATTACCAAAGCGATGAAAATTAAGTAGTCCTATAAAGCATAAACTGGTTCTTTGTTAATATACATTTTAAGCTGAATCTGTCATTTACAGTGAACACTGTTAAAATGTTACAGGTTTTTTGCTGTGTGCTGTAAATTGCAGAAGCATTACAAAACGTACTTTTCATACAGTCGATTTTCCATGTGTGAAAAAATACTATTAACCCAAAGCCTAGGACGAAATCGGAGCCTCCCCAGTCGCTTTCCCCTTTATGCAATGTAATCGCAACCTCTGTTTCATTATCATCCATCATGATGTTGTTTTATTTCACTGATACCTTTCCATCATGAACTTCGCTTCGAGAGAGCGGGGATTACCAATCTCACGAAGTGCAACAGTGGGTTTTGGTCAAAGACGGGAACGAGGAAAACGTTACCTCCTCCTATGCATGCACTTATGCATGGACTGACTTGTGTAAGAGTACGTATGAATGACCCTGTACCAATAATTTTTAGACAGAAACGAAATTCCATGGATATATTCAAGACTGACGTCCTAATACGTACGTCACATAGATTATAAGAGATCTTTCACGTAATTACAATTTTAAAATAAATTAATGATTATTTGTTTGATTGATTACTCAATCCTGCAGATTTTGTTTCTACAAATTAGACTGAAAAATTAGTTATACCTACCGAAGATCTTAGCTCTTTTGTATGGTTGCAGCACAACATGGGAAATATGAAACATGAACCTAAACCACGACTACATGACCACTATGCATTAATTTTGAGTTGAAAAAGTGGGTCTGAAAATTGCTTCCCTGTGGTTTGACGTGGTTTGTCCTTTGTCTGAGTCAATATCAAAAGTTATTAGCCTGATATGCATACACCATATCAATCAAGATATTACGCTCTTCAGATTGTCAGTACCAACAAAAAAATGTTATATCGTTTTCATGACGACCTACTTGTTAGTGCTTACATTGTGTAATGTTTTCTTGAAGTGCGAGCAATTACACTGGTTGTTAAACGAAGAGGTCCGTTTGCCCCGACACGCAGGCTTGTTTTAATACCGAGTGGGGCACCACTGCAGGAACAATAAGTAGTTACAAAGAATTGCCAGTGGCGAGCTTCCTGTTTCTCTAATTGCCCATTCACGTCTGTCCTCTCTTGCTGTCCTTCAGGCAGAGAAGACGGGTGTACACGGTATATCTCTTGGCGATATATTCGTCGACCTTAGTTGTGTCGTTTAAAAGTTTATGAGGCCTGACGTTGAAACATTTTCAGTCAACTCATAATATTTGCGTACCGGTGTAGATATCTACATCATGGCAGGATTCATTCTGAATCAACGAACTCTATCTTGGCCCTACTCGCTCGTTGCAGGTGATATAATACACACAGGGTTTTGTCGAATTTGATCTAAACATTTTAGACGTCTCTGGATGTGATTTCATATATATTTGATAATTCATCTCTAGAGGCAACAACTTATACAGTTTTTTTCCATTGACTATTACTTCAGAGGCTGCCGTGTGTCAGATCACTACAGTCTACAAGATGTTTTAGACCTGTTTGAAACGTCGTGTTTATTCCTTGTCGAATACAATTGAATTGAGCGCGACTTCAGCACGGCCGAACGTCGACCTCAATTCAAAAAGCCCAGTCGAACTTAAATCAGCATGATGAATCAGAGCAGCACGAAACGTGATTTTGCGATTTTTCAGCCTGAGTCCCAAGAAAAACGAATTTAGCTTTGGCGAGTACTACAAGTAGGCCTAGGCCTACTTTTTTTTCTCGAAAAAACTCGAGACCTTTTTATTCTGTCATGGTTCCCGGCGGTCTTGCAGTGACGTCTCAATAAAACATCACCCAAGTAAACAGTCCGATATTTGGTAGTCTGATATTCCGACATTCAGACAGGATTTTTAATTTTCTAAGTCACCGTTGAGCTTATCTCATATCAAGCATGAATTTGAAAAGGGAATTGAGTTTCGATAAATTTCCATTTCAGTCGCCATAATTTTGTGTGCGTTTGTTTTTTGATGTTTATTTGTCAGCTCTACTGCAGGTTATGAACAAGGGCATTCCTCATTATCCACAATCTACACTCCAGTGGCATGCAGGAACTCCGTTACCGACTTGTTGGGAAAGCTGGTGTTGCTATTATCACTGTTGGCTTCACTTGGTTCATGTACATTAAGATATTCCTGGTAGTTAGACAACATAACAAACGCATCACTGCCGAAAACAGGCCGGTTTTTCAACCAATGAGGGGAGCGATATTTTGCCCACGCTCTAAAAACGATTTAAAAATGGCTGTTGTATTCGACATGTCGTGCCTGTCGTGTGTATTACTTTAGCTGATGCAGTGTTCCCAGTGAATGGTCTATTCATTTGTGGGACATTATGTTTCCCCGTTCTTTTTTAGCATTCGGCCATAAACCCCGTAACGTACGCTTTCCGAAGCAGTGAGTTTCGCTGTGCCTTCATCAAATAGCTAAGCAAATTGGTCGCTTAATTGCAAGCCATAGCAGGATATATACGAGCGAATCAAAGCCGAGTTGGCGATACCAATATGGAGAATTAAATGAAACAGTTCTCCGTGTTCTCTTATTATAAAGCAATGAGGCTGTAAAAAGTACATTTCTCCAAGCAGAATTTTAGATCCAAATTAAATAAAATGACAATCAATTTTTGTTATTTCAGAGCAAGAAGGGTGGTCGTGAGATTAATTTTTAAACAAAGTAAAAGCGTCATTCCTGAGAGACTGAAGAATAATATCAAATCCATCAATCTTGACTCTGATTGTAATGATAACGTGACTTTTCGTTCTAATTTTGTTTTGCTTTGTAGATTATGATACTATATATGCAGAGTCTCATTAACACGCACTATCTGTTGATAAATTAAACATACTGCTAAAATAAAAACTCCTAGACTCTAATTGGAGAGATAGCAAAACAACTGCAGTGAAGGACGAACGGAAAATGGAAGAGTGGGCGAGTAGAGAGAAATACACAGGTAGCCTAATGTTCATGGAGTGAAAGGAGGTTGATTAAATTAGAGTAGAAAGGGACGAATTATGTCTGTTAATTCAATAAGCCTGTAGGAATTGCCGCAACAGCACCTGATTGGTGGTCGCTTTTTGCTGTGTGGAAAAACAATTGCTGGTTTGTAGACAAGGCCTGTGATTTATCGAGAAATAAATGTCGGATACACCTAGGTATGGTAAAACTTCGCTATAAATGAATTTGCACGTTGTCATACCTCAAAAAGGCAAAACATCTAACAGAACGCCAGGGTCTTTACGTGGAAAAAAATTATCAATAGTAACACTCGCGTGCCCGAATTCCCCTGCGTGTTTTTTTAAATTGCTATATGGGCTTTCCCCAGCATTGTCCCCTTTCCCCGCCCGTGTTGTGTGAAAGTTGCCATAGCAAGACGATACCAAAGGTTTTATTTTGGTTGACTGAAAAAGGCTATGCTTCATAAATATGGTGATCAAATGTTCGGTCCAACATTTCGAAAATAACAATTAATCGATGTGCCGAAGCGGAAATCGTAAGAGTGCATGGACTATTACACCAACATTCAAGATGGGTTGAAATTTATCAGGTACGCTCAAGATAAATGTCTTCATTAAAAATGTATGTCCAAAACAAAATTATTTCTTTATTGAAACTATCATTTGTAGTGAAACCTATCCAGAAGCTCTCTTTTACAAAGTTATTAATTGATAGAAAATAATTGTGAAAGACCCTGATTACAGTTTCTGTGCAACTCAATTCAGTTACCATTTCGAAGAACTAAATAATTGAAGCTACATTTTAGCGGGCTGAAGAGCAAATCTGATCCTGTGAAGGCCCTTAGTACCGATTTCCCTCCCTCCAGTTGTCAGGCTCCCATTTTGCATGTTGCTTGATGAATACTTTCGTGATGTTGAGAGATAAACTTTGTGCTTCTAGTTATTTATCGCGACAGGATTTATGTACATACTTCTAGATCCTGTAGAATAGCCAGACTACATCACAAACGCATCACTGCCACCACAGTTGTGGACATACGAGGAGAACGATCCCTTACCGGTAATCGGCCACCAAAAATCTCGGGCTATCGTTTTTAACTTAGACATTTCGGAACATGTTATATTGTAGCAAATTTGTGTGCTGAAATAACTGGAACATGTTGTTCCTTCCTATTTGTGCAATCTTGTATCAGCGTAAAGATAAAATGACAGAAAAATGTAAAATGGGATACGTTTACAAAGGTCCTTTAAGGGCATACACACTAGTGCTAAATACATATACCTCTGATGTGGATTCTGTTTAACGGGCACGCTGCAGTTGTTCTACGCTATATGTGGGGATTTTAAATTTAATATCTTCACGTACTCATTTACAGACCCAGGCCAACCGGAAACATTACATATGCAACTTACCCGACGATGCCATGCTTTCAATCTCCTCTCCTGTGTCCTCTTCTTACCACTTCATTCAATTAAAGGTTGTTCTACAGGATTCAGACAGACCAATTTTGAAGGAGTTTTTAGTTTCTAGGTTTGCGCCCGCATTCCTTGATTTTATTCAACCAGGGGCCTAGACGAAACGTACCTTTTTGAATCCGGATATACCTTTTTGGTTGATTGAACTTTGGACCGGAATACAATGAAGGCATTTTGGTTGTGTATAATTTATTTTAACAAGCTTTTTTTTCTTGGTTTAATCACGTGACTAAAGTAATTGACAGTTGTTATGAAACTGGAGGATTCGACAAAAAACCGTTTTATCCAGTCGGTCCTCTAAAACCACAGGCTTTGACAATTAAAAGTCTCTTTCACCCGTTGTTTCATTCATACTCTCAAATGAAAAAAAGTACAAAATACCTGCTGAACACTTTGACTGCACTATGTGGATGTCTGTACAGCTGTAGGTTGCCGCTGTGCGATAAATCCACAATGGGAGTCCAGTCTCCGTGCTAAGGTTATCTAGCAAAGCAAACACTTGTCATTGCTTTTGATATGTCAGTCATCATCCACAGACTGAGTCGCAATTAATGAAGACACTAGTTTATTTTACCTGCATGGTGCACAAATCAATCATTAGCAAAAGGAAACGCATACTATACATTAAAACCCTTTTAACGGCACTATTTATTTCTTATGATAGCCCACTATTGTCAACGCAGATTTACATATTTTTACATTTTATTTTGAAGAGCAGCTATTTTACATTTCCATAAACGGACATTTTGTTTTCCAGAAGCACTTACTTTGTGTGGACGCCTAGCCTGGGTATCTTGAGAGTTTCTTTTCAAAAACTGTTGCGTCTGTCAAACGTAACTGTGTTCTGTTCCAGCGTCGCACGAAGTAGTCTAGGACAATATGCTTTGTATTTCAATTTCCCGAAAAAAAAAACCACCGCAATATCACCAGGGTCACTTTTAAAATATTTGTCACAAGGGTTTTAAGCATAGGAAGCTGCCCTCAAATATCCGTCAATACATCTGTTCATACAATCCCCGTAAAGCTTTTAATTTGTCAGTAGGGTTCAGGTGCCACACAAAGTTTGGGATTTGTATGTAGCCGCCGTCATCTTTGCTGTTTCCCTCTGGGTCGAGTAAAGAGTCCTGGTTAAGGCATCTCATGTGCATCTACTTGTAACCGTAAAGTTGCCTCGAGGTATTTGGCGGCCAGTCTCTGAAATATATACAACATCAACGATGTCTGTGTGATATTTTGGCGATGCATGCCAATTTCTCGTCATCTTTGCGATATGCTTCCTTGGCATCTAGAAAATATACGTAGCTGCTCTAGATATTAAAGTAGCCGCTTTCGAAACTACAAATAGCCACTCTTGAAAGAAAAGCCGCTCTTGAAAAGAGAAGCAGCTGATCTATTTAAATAGATATAATTGCTTTTGAATAAAAAAAGCAGAAAAGAATAGAATTGGTGAGAAATAAAAGTCGTTCAGAAAAAGATCGAAGACAACAAAGATATCTACACCAAATCTACATATTTTTAACGGGGTGAAATTCTTGAAAAATACTATGAATCTGTTAAAAATAGTAAAAATACGTAAGCACGCGACAACAAAATAATTTAATAGACAAATAATAATTAAATCAGAATTTATATAACCGCACTATCATTGTAATATCGGAAATTTGCTAACTTTACCTCCTAAAACAAAACGGAAAAAACCAAAATAAAACACTTTTTTTTTACTGTATGAAGTCAAAATGTTTTAATGTGTTTCACAGCACTGAATTTAGAAGATTTTGTAATTGTCTTTCTGTTGCAAAAGGTACCCATATCATCATCAAGATTTATCTTTAACTGCATATAATATCTCTGATCGAGTCATCATTACTTACTGCATCCCTTAACCGGTAGGTTGGTCCAGGAATTGAGGTATGGATGAGTTTAAGTGGGATAGATTTTCAGAAAAGCGAATGAGCTTTATCAAAGACTTGCCACTCCAGTACTTCGAATTGTCAAAACCTTGGAAAGAAAATGCTTCCACCGGTTGCTAGGCATCCAAAATGTAGAATATTAAACAAATGAGTTTGTTATTCAGCACTTAAGATCAATAGCACGGACACAATGAACCCCTGCTCACTAGTGTCAAACTATAATGGCACTCATTTGGCCATGTGGTTAAAGGGCAGGCGCAGAGAATTTTTCTTAGACACGTTTTTCGACAACTTTGTACTCTTCTTCATTGTCTGATACTCTTTTCAGTCCCATTTCGTTAAATGTACTGAAAAGAATGTTTTTAAACACTATGTTCATCCCTACTTTCCTGGACAACTGAGGGCGCTGTTTTGAAGATATCCAGGGAAGACATTGTCCATTGCATCTTATGTTTTATATTCAAATTGTGAGTCTTGAAATTAATTTACTGAGCATTTCCCTTGGGGTATCCACACTCATATCCGTAGGAGCGATCCCTGCATTTAGTTAAGGCCCATGTTTATAGCTACTCATTTTAGAGTGACTTTAGAGTTTTTGTTGTGTTGCGTGAGTTTATATATATTGTATCCATGGCTAAGGTATTATGTAAGGTTTGTTGTACCCTTTTAGAGTTTACCTTGAACTAAAGTACATTTGGAATGTGGGTAAAACCTGTTGAAGTTGGTTTACACTTTAAGCGCGATTTTAACATTGTTGGCAGATTCGGAACGTCATCAAAAGAGCGTTCATTTTCAATGGAACCGACGTTGTGGTCCTGAAACCTTGTACGTAAATTATTAAAAGCTCCCATGCGCATGCAAATAATACAAATGAATGTGACTAACGACCATGAGAGTATAGTCGCCAAGTCCCTATTTTCTCCACTTAGCGCCGTCCGTAAAGTACGTACCCATGACAAAGGGGAAGGGACGGGGTCGGTGCCGTTGCGTACACCATGCGTACAGAGGGGGAGGGGGTTCAAGCCAGTGCATATCGTACACAAACCGAAAATTTGTTGAATCTTCATCATATCAGTACACTTTCTCATACAAATAACTACCAGAATCAGCCTTTGTGAGTCGAAAACCTATTCAAACACAGTATCCTCCACCGTCAACCCCACCGTTTATCGTCTCGTTGCAGCACCCATTATTAGTAAACCGCTCGGAAACCTGAGCATGTTTTAATACATGTTGTTAATGTTTTAATAGGTGCAAAACATTATTTTTCCTTGCTTTATTTAAGCATAAAGTTTAACAACACCTTTTCTTAAGCTGCCAAGTAAATTTTTTCCAGGGCCATTAATAAAGAAATGCCGATATAAAAACCCGTTATTACTTTGGTCATTTATTTCAGAATTTGGAAGCAAACAACGTGCGAATAACAGTACTACAGTAGATGTACTGTGACATTTAATACTGCTAAAGCAAGGTACCCTGAGAGGTGAAAAGATATGTGGAATGCGTACAGGAGAGGAGGGGAGTTGAGCCACTGCGTAGGCCATCCGTACACGGGGAGAGGGTCTGAAAAGTCGGCATTTCGTGCGTACGTACTTTATGAACGGCGCCTTATTGTCTAGTCAGATTCGTTGGTTTTTACAGTGAGTGGCCTAAGGGACGTTAAGTTACCAAAAAAATCAGCTTGCTTGAAAAAGGGCACATGCAGGTAAAAGGTGACGACACGCCTTGTAGGTAATTTGCCAGACACTGAAACCAAACTCTGATTTCAGTTCACACCTAATAGTGTGAAAACGCAACTTCAACATCACAGCAGTGTCTTGGAATCTCAGCCCCGTATTGCCTGCACGTGCAGCCAAGAGAATCCATGACAGTGATCATCTTTTTACCGTCATTTATTAGTATCGTCAGGCCCCTTAAATCTACGCAGTCTGATTTCTACGCTCTCATCTGTCAGTGAATGTTTTTCGGACGCGGGCGATTTTGAACAGCCCGCGTCACTTGAATTGTTTGTCCGTGTTTAAATTTTGCAAAGACCCCAGAAATTAATTCTGTTATATTATGTTTATGTGTAAAAGAAATAAGGGACCCCCTTTTCGGCGAATTTTCTAGCACAAATACTAAAGAGTCTATGTCGTGAGTCCTCCAAAAAATTCCGAAGTCCTCGTCTCATCTATTTTCTCGCCCTCTATTGTCTAATATGTGATTTTAATGTGTCACGCGATGTTATTAAAAATTGACTCAGTAAAGTGCTTCAGGGGTGCAGATAAGACCCTTCGCTTATATTTGAAGTTTCAAAATGTTAATGTTTTGTTTAGTCAAGTGAGTAAATATGAATAAAACTTACTGGTGGATCCATTTTTAGGGTTTGTTTCTTATTTTTCTTCCAAGAAGAGAGCAAGATTACTTAGGCTGACACTGGGTTGCCCATATTCATGAATAAAGGGACATTCATGAAATATGGGATATGCGCCGACCTGATAGGGCACAGGTATAAAACCAAGGGCGTGTGGGGGGATGGGGATGGCGGTGTTCACTCACTTGTGCAGTCTAAAACTCCCGGGTCAGATTGACCCAGAATTTAATTGCATTCGGAATGACCCTTTCCCGGGTCAATTCATGACCCAGAAAGGGTCAAGTGTGACTCGGAAACGGGTCACATTTGCCCCAGAAAAGGTTCACGCCGAACAGGACCTAATTCTGGTCAATCTTACCTGGGAGCTTGTAGAGTGTGATGGTGGTTGCAAGTTACAAAGAACATGGCAGTAAATGTTGGAAAAGAATTAGGTCTACCAGCCACGGGAAGGTGTTTCGGAGGACATTGACTATTTGCCTTCTCTTGAAAAATTATTTGTTCATTATTATGATTACAGATTTTTTTGGAGGAGAATTTAAAGACAGAGTGGATGTGGATGGAGTCATTGGGTGTACAGAAGAGGGGACAGACCACTGGAGGATATGGGGTGCCATAATTGATGTTGAGCTAGAGAAGACTGTCAAAACAAACAAGTATGAAATAACCAAAGGATACATTAAGGGAATTTACTTGTAATTTTTTATGCAAGGATGTTAAATAGTGACAGACCGAGGACCCCATGTTGTAAAATGTAAGAATACTGTGCTTTATTAAAATTCATTTCCCCATTACTAATTTAAGAAAGTTATTCAAATGAAATGGAAGTGACAACTGGAAGATTTAAGATTTGAAGTTGTTTAAATGCTTTATATGTGTACTGTTACAGTGCTGTTACAAGGCCAAACACCAGGACTCATCTTTTCGATAAATATATCTTGTGTAGCACGTCTTGGCCACCGTAGATTTAAAAGGCCGCCAGCTGCGTAGATTTAGGCTGGAGCTTTTACACAACACGTGGTCGAACTCATTAAAAACTGCCTACTCTTAGGCACAAAAAGAAGTAACTTTTTGTATGAATTGCTTCGATGACAGACTGTGAGCTGTGAAAATATAATCACCTCTAAAAATTTCAACTGCAGTGTACTTTTCTGGAAATCTTGTTTCAAAGCCATAATTAGGTGAGCACTTATATAGAGGATCGAGGATACAATGTCGGAAAAGACGTGGTTGATATTTAAAGTTTTTACTAACGACAAGATATCTTGTGTAAATGTAAAAAATATGTAGATTAGCGTAACTGCCCCATTACGTACACAAAAGCTACATGTAAAATACAAAAAGTCAAATGTGTATTAAAAACAATGTAAGCTACACAAAACCCAGCATTAAAGGCCTTTTATTATTTGTCGCTTGCTAAGACATCTGCACTAGTAAGCNTTGAAAATGAGAAAATAATACACGTATGTACGCCTACGTGATGAAATTAGGGACCCAATTGGTCACAATCATGACAGACGTTAGAGCTGTATCAAATGTCTCGCTTTTGAACTTTGTCTTATTCCCGTTACTACATTGTATTTCAAAAGAGAGCCATTTATCGTATTTCTAGCCCTGTATGCAGGGCGACATGTAGGTCCTGTTTACTTCGAGAACCTGTCACTACTCCGTGCTATGTAACTTAGTGGAGTTGTTAGTTACATGGGTTGGTAACGCTATGTGTTTTTTTAATCCAGGTTTTGCATTTGGTAATGCAAATGCCATTTTTCAATCCGATTTTCCCGTGAGAGCAACCGCGCGGAAGAGTTCTCCGGACACCAGTAATTATTCCTTACAGTGACCTATTAGCCGTTGGAAAGCAAAAGCTTGTGCAGAAAAGTTCAATTTAGGAGGGAAAAAACCAAGTCGTGAAACAAACTATTTAGGGAAACTGATTAGGTGTTTAGAAATAATTATAAAGATGAACAAAGAATTTGACTGGAGTGGGTTTAGAATCTGCGACCTCTAGAATACTGTACCTTTGCTCTACCAACTGAGCTATCCAGCTTTATGTTGGTGGCTCTTCCCAGAAACCACTAAACCTGAAACACTTTGTAGCCAGGAATCACAACCCAATAACATGCCTATGCTGTCCTGGACGACCAATCAAATGCGTGCCTGGGTGACCCGAAGTTATTTGACGCCCTCAATATCGATGGACCCCTGTTTGAATATGTGGCGGGCGACGAATTTCCACGCAAAGGAGACGAGCCCGCGGGTTGGTCATGGAATCCCAGGAGGGTAACATAGAGCACCTACCAACAGTCATAGAGAAGGACAACATTCCCAGCGACAGGGACGAGATTCCATCGCCAGACCTCTGCCGAAAATTCCAACACCTGAGCCAAATTGCGGGAAAGATCCCCGACATCAGAGAAGACGTAGATGTCCTACTAATGATCGGCAGGAACTGCCCAGAGCCTCTCAAAGTCAGAGAGTCCAGGAACGGACCCAAAGGCACCCCTTAGGCCCAACGAACAAAGATGGGATGGACAGTTTCTGGTTGTATCTGCTCAAGCAACATTACCGAGACAGAACATGTCTCTACTCACCGTACTACCTTGACGTCAGCCCCCTCTCCTTCGCGTCATGCCATCACCTCCGAAGGTTACTTCAACTACCCCACCGTGTGTGAAAATCATATCAAGACAAAAGATGTATCAAATACTCATCGGGATACGTGCTCCGATGTTTTTGCAGAAACAAGTCATGACGACAGCAAAGCTCTGTCAGGATCAACGCTTCATCCAGATCCTGTCAGACAACGCCCACACTTAACGCCGACGGGAATTTGGAGTTCCCTTTACCCTTCAAGACTGACCCCACTTATCTACCAATTAATCGACCACAGGCAGAGGCCCGACTAAGAAATCTCCTCCGGACTCTTAACCGCAAAACAGAACTGATGAGAGAGTACCAAGCCTTTCTGGGTAAGATCCTGGACATGAAACACGCAACCCCTGTGCAGATAGATGAGCCCACACCAGCTAATGGCACAACGTGGTATTTACCTCACTTTCCGGTTCGACACCCCAAGAAGCCAGACATCAGAGTCGTCTTCGATGCCAGTTCCGAGTTCAACGGCATCTCTTTGAACCAGGTCTTACTCCAAGGGCCCGATCAAATGGACACACTACTCGGTATACTCCTGAGATTCAGAGTTGACAAGGTAGCCGTCATGGGGGACGGGGAAAAGATGTTCCACAACTTCCACGTCACCCCAAACCACCGCAATTTCCTACGAATCCTGTGGTTCCAGGACAATAACCCCGAAAAGGCAATCGTCCACCACCGGATGAATGTCCACCTCTTTGGGAACATCTCTTCGCCCGCCGTCGCAACCTTTGGCATCAGGAGGATTGCCAGAGAGTGTGAATCCACACACGGAAAAGACATGTCAGAATTCATCCATCGGGACTTCTATGTGGATGACGGGCTCACCTCACAACCAGATACTGAAACGGCCATCAGCTTGGTACTACGTACCAAAGACGCCATAGCGAGTAAAAACCTGCGTTTCCACAAAATTGTGTCTAACAACACCGATGTCATGTCAGCACTGCCGGAAAGCGACAGAGCAAAGGACGTCAAGAGCCTCGACTTCAGTCACGATTGACCCCCCACCCAACGGTCACTTGGATTTCATTGGGCCCTCGACAAAGACGCCTTTACTTTCATAGTAAATCTACCGGAAAAGCCATTCACTATACGAGGAGTGCTGTCGATAGCCAGCTCCATCTTTGATCCGCTAGGCCTAGTGACTCCTGTAACTATTGAAGGGAAACTCATCCTACGTGAAGTAATGATGGAAACAAAAGGCACTAACCTCCCTCAAGACTCGTGAGACCGACCTCTCCCCGAGACCGCCCTCCCCAGATGGAACCGATGGCGAGACTCTCTATGTGAACTAGAGAACGTCTACATCCAAAGATGCTACAAACCCCCAGCATTTGGTGAAATCAAATCTTTTTTTACATGTTTTTGGTTTTTTTTGCGACGCTAGTGAAATCGCCATAGGTGCAGTGTGCTACATGAGGCTAAAAGCAAAGCTGGCGCCTGTTCATGCAGTGTCGATCCCCCGCCTTGAACTTTGAGCAGCTGTCCTCGCCACGACGCTGTCAAGGACAGCCGAAGCAGAATTACAAGGCAGAGTAGCCATAAACGAAACCGTATTCTACTCGGACAGCCGGGTGGTTCTTGGCCGCATAGCCAATGAATCGAAACGATTCCACGTTTACGTGGCGAACCGCGTTCACAAGATCCACGCTGCATCAAAGCCTTGTCCGTGGCACCACATCTCATCAGGCCAAAACCCTGCAGACCTAGCGTCAAGATCAGTTCCCGCAGGACGGTTGAACGATACAAACTGGTTCCGCGGGCCAGACTTCTTCTGGCAATCTGGCCCACTGCCCGCCGGAACGACATCAGCAAACACCGAACATACCTATGACGAGAACGACCCTGAAGTACGGAAGCAGGTTTCTGCATCAGCAACTAATGTCGAAGGGGAAGCCAACAAGCTAACTCTTCAAGGCGACACACCACATCTGGGATGTGCCTGTTTCTCTAGATTCTCAAGCTGGCCACGCCTCGAACGAGCAGTTGGAAACCTGATCAGAAGAATTCAGACCTTCAAGGCAGGACGAGATGACACCTCCGAGACCAGCCGGGATGAAGTGCAAAGGGTCTCATCCAATCTATCCAGTGCACAACTACAACAAGCAGAAAGAGCCATCTTCAGGGCCATTCAGAGCGAGTCCTTCAGTGACGAGGTACGAACCTTGAAGAAGGCAAGGACCGAACCCAACTCAACCATCAGCAGGAAGAGCCCCCCCTCGGGCCTAGCCCCATTCCTGGACGACGACGGAATACTCAGAGTAGGCGGAAGGCTGAAACGAGGCAACTTTGATTTGGGAGTCTGCCACCCCATTGTCCTCCCAAAAGGAGACCACGTCTCTCGACTCCTGGTGGAACATCTCCATCGCGAAGTGCGTCATCAAGGCCGACACCTGACGACTGGAGCTGTGAGCCATGCTGGACTGTGGATTCTTGGACTCCACAAACTAGTCAGGGGTGTCATCAACCAGTGCACCACATGCAGGAGACTTAGGGGAAAGCCGCTCAACCAGATTATGGGAGGACTCCCAGGGACAGACTCACGGCAGCACCACCCTTCACCAAAGTAGGCATGGATGCGTTTGGCCCTTGGTCAGTGGTGTCTAGGAAAACCAGAGGCGGAACTTCAGATTCCAAAAGATGGGCCATCATCTTCGCATGCCTCTATAGTGGGGCCATCCACCTCGAGGTAATTGAGTCACTGGATGCATCGGCTTTCATATCCGCATACCGCAGACTAGTGGCGATAAGAGGACCTGTTGCACGACTGCGATGCGACAGGGGAACGAACTTTGTTGGGGCAAAGAATGAACTGGACAATGCTCTTGATGAGATGGACCGTGAGCGCGTTGCGTCCTACCTGTTGTCTCAGCGGTGCGAATGGGTGTTTAACCCTCCACATGCCTCACACTTCGGAGGAATCTGGGAGCGCCAGATAGGCACTGTCAGGTGCGTCCTTGATGCAATGTTCCTGGACCTCGGAAAACACAAGTTAACCCATGAGATACTTGTGACGTTCTTGGCTGAGGCGGCTGCCATCGTCAACTCGCGCCCACTGTGCAGTATTTCACCTGACGCCGATGACCCTCAACCTCGTACCCCCTCCATGCTGCTGACGCTAAAGACCCAACAACTCCAGCCGCTGCCAGGCAACTTCATAAGACAAGACGAGTATGGGCGATGCCGATGGCTGCGGGTTCAATACCTCGCAGATCAGTTTTGGGTTCGATGGAAGAGGGAGTACCTTCAGAGCCTGCAACCCAGACGCAAGTGGCACGACACAAAACAAGACCTTGGCAACGGAGATGTCGCCCTCCTTCGAGACAAGGAACTTTCAAGATGCCAGAAGCCCCTGGCTCGCGTCGTCAAGATCCACCCAAGCGAAGATGGTAGAATCCGCAAGGCAGAGGTTACCGTTTGCACCAAGGGAACCAAACACACATATCTCCGACCGATCTCTGAGCTAGTACTTATTGACAAGGCACCCGTCTCAGCTGACTGAACGCTCAATGCTCATGAACCGTAGTGCCAACCTGGACAGTTTCAGTTTTTGGTTTTTTTTTTGTTAGGTCTAGTGAGGCATGTTGCTAAAAATATCCGATCGTTTTTGGTTTTTTTTTAGGCGGGGAGTGTCACGGCCGGAGTCTCCGTCCAGCTACTTCTACTGAAGGCGCTCTTCATAGTCAACAGTGAAACTTATCTTTTTCTATAGGACTCCAGAGGGCGCTGTCCACTTTTCTTGGAATTAGGGGATTCATGAGTTATTTCTAGTGACATGCTCGAAGCAGCGATCCTGCCAGAGAATTCTGTGTTACCAGATTCCTGAGACATTCCATTGTTACAGACAATATTTCTCCCCATATTGAGCCACAGTCGTGTAAGTCCAGCTGTTCTTGATGTAATTTTCTCGGTATTTTCGTAAGGCGATCTGACTTGTTGTTATTACCATCCCAGGTGTTCCAAGTTACTATTTTATTGATCGCTTGCCATAATTGTTAAAGTTTTAGATAGTACTTTAAGTTTGATTTTAGATAACCATAGATTGCTGCATGATATGCCATGACTTTCTAGATTCAAGACATTATAGTATTCCACTGCATTTATCAGTTTTCAGTGAATGAGCAATACCTGTTTCTTGTCTACAACCTGCCATTGTTAGAATGGAATGAGCCCAGTATTAAGCATGTTGCTTATTCCCATGACTCATTGGAATCTATAGATACACGTTCAGTGGTTTAACTGTTTCTCTATTGCTCTTTACAAGAGTTGTGAAGGCTTTCTTGTATTTTTGTTACAGTTTTACCATGGAATAAGGTCAGTGTGGATACCGGAGCCTTACCCTCGGCCATAATTCTTCTTTGTACTTCGGTTGAATTTTCTGGTTGATATTAAGTTACCACCCCGTCCGGCTACACTTTTATGTAGGCCAGAACAGTCACAGAGTTTCAAACAGCATCCGCAGAAATGGAACTCTTTCCCAACCGTGAAGTACCTACATGTAGCTCTTGAAAATACTCGCGTATGAGTTTCTGACCACCAGAAAAATTTTAATTGAAAAACCTGACATTTTTACTCACCACATCTCTCTCGTTTCCACCTGACAATGATCAGACTGTTCATGCCTGTATGTTTATCACATTGTGCATGTTTTGGGCCAGTCGGTGGCTAAGCTTGCTCTGCATTTCGGTTCCACAGTTTTTGGAGGCGGGAGATGGCATCTTGTTTCCATCGCGCAACCGTCTCCACTGTGTGACTTGTAAGCTGATACCATTAGGACATGAAAGATGCACTGCGCCGGCTGCATCCAAGTCTGTTGTTAAGAGCTACATATAGGTCTAGGCCTTCACTCCATTGGAAACACGTGCTAACAGTAGACCCAGCCACAGCTCTGGAAGCCCATTTCAGACACAGTGTAACAGAGTATAAAGTCTTAGTAATCCCCCAAGACAATTTGTGCACTTAATGAAAACAAGTTATTTTTTTTTGTTTTTATTACAACCCTTAATACCTGACATACCCATTGACCCTAAACCCTTGGGTGTGTGAAGTGGTTATATTTACAATAAGCATGTCAGGTTAATTGTTATTTTACATTATCGAGTGTGTACAGTTTACTCAGTGAAAGTCTTTGTTCAATTTCCAGAAAAGTGATGAATCTACATTGTGGCAAGCATTGAAATACAATCATTTTAGTACTCAAGTAGGGAGGATGTCACCTACATGTGCAAGATACGTATGTACATGTAATGGCTCCGTGAGCAGATCCATTTGGACTTTGTCCTACATATTACCACTCACTCTGGTCTTCATGGCTGTCAACCAGCCCTCAGCTGCAAGTTCTGGAGAGATTGTTGGCGCCTTCGTTCTACCTCATGGAGGAATCGCCTTTGACCCCACTCACTTCAACACCAGCAACCGCACAGCACTGGCAGAAGCGTGGCTTTTACATGATTCAGCTAAAACCGTAGGTGAAATCATCTCCGGCCTGAAACCGGATCTGATTGTCCTGAGCACACCCCATGGAGTTGCTGATCTGGACAAATTCCAGTTCTACTTGAACCCCAAAGGGTACGGCACCGCCGACACGGATAACTATGTCGGCCCCTATCGACTGGAAGTCAATTTAGACAGTATGTCCAGCCAGAGTCTAGTTCAAGACCTGGTCAGATTGGGAGAGAATGTCAGCGGGCTGAGTGCCTTTGGCCCACCTGGTGGAGCAGATGACCCTTTCCCACTCAGGTACATGTAGTTTATGTTGTACAATTTCCCCCTAGTACTTACACAGTTTTTAAAAATGAACATCACCTAGTTGCAAGTTGCTGGCTTCCACCATCAGGCTCCCAAGCTTTGATAGAGTGTGTCAGTTCCAACAAGCACACAGAGAGTGACAGTATAGAGGCAAGCAGTAATGGTTGAGGAATTCTTCCTGTCCTCCTCTTGCACATCCACATTCGCCTATCAACTACAACCCCTCGCAGTGATGATCCTACGCTTTTTGCTTGAAAGTGATGGATATATGTGGTTTGAGATTTTACTGACCATTCTCTTGTACCTTATGAAAAGATGCCTTCATAATCACATAGTGCTTTTTGATTGATGATGTAGAAAAATTTAATCGAATAACTGACGCTTTGATCAACTAATTTAGTTGCCCAATAACTGAATTTTACGGACCAACATCTAAACGCCAAATGGGCCTAATTTTCTTTATTGACAGTTTCATATGTCATATTCTCAATTCAATACAGGATGGGGAAGCTTCTGTTGCCAAAAATATGACGAAGTGTTGTAATCATCCTAATTCAACACAAGCATTGACTTCCTTCAACTGTGAACTACATGTATTTTAAACAGGTGGGGAGAAGTGGTTCCACTTTCATTTGTCCCAACCCTTGAGACCACAAAGGTAGCAGTCATCTCTCAGCCCAGTCGACGCTATAATGACAGTGTTCAAATGATTCCAGAACTTCTGCATCTTGGTAAGTTTCTGTCAGGTAAATGAAATTGATATTTTGAATGTTTGAAGCTTCTGTGATAGGGGAACATTTGGTGAGTTCAGTCTTCCATTAAACTGTATCACAAGTTTGTCAACTACAAGTATGTGAATTGGTTGAAGTATGGTAGAGTGTCATTTTAACTATCTGCATTTCCTGTGTAAATTTCAGGAGCCCTGCTTCATGACCAGCTACTGTTGCTACGGAAACGTGTCGTCATCCTCATCAGTGCAGATCTTGCCCATACCCATGATAAAAATGGTCCCTATGGATATTCATCAGCTGCTGAACCATTTGATCAAGTGAGTATGCGAAAGCAGTGTATACCTGACTTGCCAGTATGTACCATCCTGTTTGAGTGCAAAATGGTTAGTTTATTGTTAACTCCAACCTCCTTTTGGCTAGGATGTGTCCTTCATAATTCTTCAATTACCACCAGTTAAAAATTAAACACAGCCTCTGTTCTACCCAGTCCTTTGTTGTTTGTAAAGCCCTAACCCGCATGGGTATATGGGCTAGAAACCTAACCAAACACACTCATCTGGATCATTTTTCAAAAAGTGGCTTGTCTGCCCAGTGCAACAAGAGCCAATCGATCAAACTATCTTCAAAGCCAAACAGCCTCGGAGTGTTGCGAGCCACCACAAGATCCAACTGTGGTATTGTTCGGTGCCGTTGGCTCCTGTTGTCTCAACATGGGCAGTTTTTTTCATCTACCATACATGTAGATGGCCCAGTGTAACAAAGTGCACCAGACCTTCACAACTGCTGTACTGTTCTGTGATTTGCATGTCCCTTGAAAAGTTGACTGCTACCTTCTTACCTTAGAGCATTTTTTTCTCGGGAATTGAAAGGAAATCTTGAATTCCTTGGAAGAGGATTCTCATTGTCAGATTCACAATCCTGGGCAAGTAATGAACAGTTGAATCATATACTTGAACAAAACATGCAATTGTCTCAAGAAAAGAAAATGATGGTAATTTGTTGTCAGTTCAGTACGGGATGTGATAATGCCTCACTGCCCCCAAATCTTCTACATATGCCCCCCTCCAAGCTGGAATTCCTGCAGTATGGACAGAGCATACTACATGCAAAACAGTGGAGCCCATCAGTTGCTTTGAGAACCTCACTCACAAAAGGGATTTATGTAGTGCTGCTATAAACTGTCCTCTCATCAGAAAAAGTCTTTGTTTTTTGAACAGGCATGTGGTTTGTGGGCCTCAACACTGGACCAGGATGCCCTGGTATCCACAGCAGCCAAGTATGTCGACAGAGCTCTGTCCTGCGGCTATACAGGGCTTGTCATGCTCCATGGGTTATTGAAGAAGGAATCACTGGAAGTCTGGATGCCTAGAGTGTACGCAAACTACCACCCTAGCTACTACGGAATGATGGTCACCTCGTTTCTTAAAAAAGAGATCTGAGAGAGTCCATTGCTAAACTAAGAAATTTAGGAAAGTGACCATTTTCTACCCTTGTACTTTGTTAAATTATTGAAAATTTCCTACCCTATCAGTGAAATTCTGTTATATACATTTATGTAAAATGTTTATGGGTAATTCCTTGAGGGATTCAAGGTGGGATACATACAATGGCCAAACTTTGAAAAGCTTCTCCTATAGTACCTTGATTTATGTTCAATAACACATGAAGTTTTCACAAATAATTATAAAGAGTAGTGTACATCAGTGGTTTTTTGTAGTTGTGATGAAACATTTGAGCCACTGATTTGACAGTTTTCACACGTAAAAAATCCAAGGGGCACACTAGAAATGGCACACTGAAAGATGTACTACAATGAGTGAAGATGAAATACCTAAAGTCGCCTATTTATTGATTTAATTGGCTTTGGTTCATACCTATCTTGCCTTATATCATTCCTATTTGCTATCTCAAAAAGTAGTGCAGAAGGGCAATATTTTCATTTTTTCACTGCATATTCAGTAGCCCAGCCTGAAGAAAAATCCAAGCAGTTTCAACGGATTATGACAGTTAAGGACAACCAAAGCGTTTTTATTTTGAATATAATCTGAAGTTCGTGAACTAACCTGTAAATAAACGACTGTATTTTGTATGATACTTCGAGCGGCATTTACTTTTGCATTAGTTATGGTATCTTTGCATTGGCGGCAAGAATATCTCCATAGCTATTGTTGGCAAGCTCAGTTGGAGAGGTACGGCAGGGGGCAGTGCTGGATTAATGCCGGCGGCAGCGTTGCTGGGGACTGTATTTGAGGCGGCCTAGGTGTCTGATGTGAAGGTGAAGGAGTTGGATGACTCGGTCGGGACGGGTGCAGTTGCACCCTAAGAGAGCAAACAAGAACGTCAAATTCCCTTAGTCATCGGCTAAGAACAGCAAATTTTTGTTCAGGTCCATCATCCCTATGTCAACAGGCCTAAACATCAGTGCCTCCTTTAGACATTACTTCGAAGCATTGTATACCGACAGATTGATTGTTTAGCGAAATATGAACTTTTTCAAGTTATTAATTTCATTTTAATATATGAACTGACTAAGGCAAAGATTTTGAACTTACCCATTTGTTTGCAAAGAAGGCACATTCAGCTGGGATGTCCTCACCGCTGATTGTTGACCCGTTGCCTTGTAAGGAATTTTTTTCTTAGAATCACTTTTTGTGTGTCTCTGTGCGCTTCTTCAATGTATGAAGACGGTTTGACGTCATTTTTGAGATACATGAACTGGCAAGTGCACTTTTTAAAAATTCAAAATTGACCAAGGATTTCTGGAGAAGTGAGGGCGCTTTTGTTTTGATGTAAATCCTGGAAGACATGGTTCAGCTTCCATGTTTTCATGCTTAAATTGCGAACTCCGAATTTACTATCTGAAAACATTTCTGTAAAAAGGATGCTTACTGGCTTATTGCCATGTACCTACACAGCAATAAATTGCCAAAGAAAATGAAATCTATGATTGCAGTGTCTAAAAGAAATCTAGAATCTAGAGATTCAGTGCCTTGGATGACATCGTAGTTCTGCTCAAGAATATGCAAATTGTATAAGCATAAAACCAAAAGCTCCAAAATAATGGTTAGAAGTGCTAAAAAAAATTTAAATTAAATCAGTTTAATTGGAACGAAGAGGTGCAATTTCAAGGGTTTTGAGTCAAATTTATTAAAATACTTCTATTTCATGGTATATACTGTGCTGTACATGTTGCAGCCCTGAATTCTCAATCCAGTACCCCAAACCATTCTGAATCCAACAAGCATGTGCATGATTTCAGTGGTGGTCCCCGGGGTTAGGGTTAAAAGGAAAGAATATTTCTCATTCTATATTTCATAATATAAGATATGATCACTCTGCATAGCTGTCCACTTTGTGTTGGAGACACGATTTTTTTCAATAATCCCATGTCTTTCTGATTATTTTTTTGTTCTTATATGTACTGGTGCCCTGAGAACAAAGTATAACTTCACATGGGATAATGAAGCTTTGTTTTCATGTGCAGATGACAGTGTGAAATTAAGGGTGTTTATGTTTGTGCACAAAGTGTATGAAATATTGAAACAATGAGTAATTGTACTGCTGGTATATTTTAATGGATGAATCAAATAAAAGGAATCGATACTTTTTAAGATCAAACTTTCTGCATTTGCTAATTACTGTGGTTGTTCTTTTGATTCTTCATGGTATTGTATTTTTCTGAAGAAATTTTTGAAAACCTGTTTTTTTTTCTGTTCTTTTAAAAAAGAGATAAAACATTTACAATGAATTGGGCTTGAATTTCGGAAAAGAAGGTTAATAATGCCGATCTTTATTCGGACTAGCTGAGAGTTTAGCAGCCAGTTGGCATAGCAACGCGTCAGCTACGCGTCCATTACTTGTAATTTAACCTCTAAAATTTGGACAGCGCCCTCTATTGACTTTCAGACTTTTCTGCAATATTTAGTATTTTAGGGAAGATTTTGAAAGAATCTAACATTTTACTCACCATCAATCAAATCAAGAGATCTGAGTCAAATTGGATGCTGTACCTCGACTCTTTAGGTCCCTGAAATCAATTTTGTCTTTTCCTACCTCCATGGTCCAAGCATTCACCTGTTGTCAATCACTTTCATATGCAAATTGCGTCATAAAAGCCGAACGAAAGTATCTCAATCATATTTGAGAGTGTGGATTGCCGACCGTTGGTGTCATTTGGAATAAGTCGTCCAAAAATTACGAAAAGTTAATGCGGTTAGAGCTAAGCAGAAGAACGTCTGGGTTCCCAACTTTCCTTTGGCTCAAGTAAACCCTAGATGACTAGAATATACCTGCCGTCTTTGTTCAAGAATGGAGAAAATTGACGTTTTCTGGAAGATTGTTGTCGTCTGTTCGTGTGTTCTCCAACAGGTGTGTGTATAGAGAAAGAAATGTACAGCGTGTTGTTATTTAATTCCGTCATGTTGGTTTCCGCAGTTGAACATGTTCAATGTCAAAAATTGTTCGTACGGTATCGGGAATAACAGTTTTCTTTAATTAGGTATTTTATAACAGAGCTTCATCAACATTGTTTCATTCATTTACATGTACATGTATCTCAGATAATTGGTTTGGTAAGAGTTCCGTACATCACTCTTTTCCTTTTGTCAGTCATGTTATTGTCAAAAGTTTATTACTATTAGCCATCAGAAAGTGAGAATACCATATGTCTTAAAAAGTCAATTTTAGCAGTTAAAATGTTGACGCATTTACTTAGAAAACACTCTAATTTTTTGACCAGTGTCATCATGGTCATGCATAGGGTTTGTGCAAAGGGTGTCAAGTGATGTCTGCACATGGAATTCTTTCCTTGGTTTGGTTTCACTTTTCCCCCCCATTATTAATTCATTTGCAGAATCTTACATGTTCATCACAAAAGCCATGAATTAATTGTGTCACAGTTCGGCATTTCTACTCGTGTTAGTTTTTCAGTAACTTGAATTGCTTACATGTACATAGCCCTACATTACATGTATGTGTGTTTTAATTGCACATAAAACAGAAAGCCTTTAATTGTTCAGTCGTTTCCATACATGTACATACATGTTGCTGCTTTAAACTTTTGGGGAAGAGTTTTTATATGTACAAATGCCAGTATTCCGTACAGTGAACTGTTAGCTTTAAGCATGGTAAGAAAGCAATTTTTTAAACATATCAAGACAAGGCGAATTTATTACGGAAAAAAAACAAGTCATTTACTTAGAAAACACTTAAAATTTTTCAGACTAGTCTCATAGGGTATGTGCACAGGGTGTCAAGCCGTGTCTGTATATGGAACTCTTTCCATCTTTTTTAATAAAAGCAGCCCAAAAGGAGCCAGGTTAATATGGACCATCACACAGGTGGGGGAGGATAGGGAAGGGGGCATATAGGGTGGGTTTTTGTCCCCTACCCAAGAACTTGGCCGTCCCATGTCCAGTTTTGAAAACTTGACAAGAATGTGTACATGTATATGTAAATACTCCTCATTTGTACAAATGGCAAGTTTTGACTCAATCTGACAGAGTTTTGTCGTCATGGTCATTTGAGGATCAAGGCCACATGCATGAGTGCCAGACTGTAAGTTGAGTTTGGCAGTGGAAAAATTATTCAAGTTTTGGCTGACCTGTCACAGTTAAATGGTTGCTGTGTGAGAATGGCTCATAATTTTCACAAAATTGGTGTCAAAATAACCCTGAAGACTCAACGAAAAAAAATCCTGCAGGCTCTGCTCATGAAAAAAACACATACTGCAGTGATATTTGAAAAAATGTTGACTGGGGACCACTCTGCATACAATCATGGTTTTTTGGCTGATTGTCTTAACCTTTAATTGCTTTCAATGAATTCTGTTTTCCCTGTTGCAGGTTAATCAAGTCAATTCCCAGGCCTCTCCAGTCAATGTGGCCTTGAACAAGCCCATCTCAGCTAATATCACCTGCGGATTTGATGGCCCAGAGAACTTTTATGGACACACGGAGATAGCCAAGCCGCCAAACGAGCGTGTGATCTCAAGCTGCAATGCCAATAACCCAGCACTGGCCCATGGTCCAGAGAATATGGTGGACCTCGATCCAGCTACTGGTGATGTGTACACATGGTGGCAGAGCACCTCTAGGAATAGACTACTGCAGGAAGGGATGCTGAGCCCAGATTCACAGATAACCATCAATTTACAGGAGGTAAATTTTACAGGGTGGAAGAGCAAGGTCCAGATGGGGAAAAGTCTGCTTGTAGCAGATACTCCCGAAAATTGAATGTTTAATTTTAAAGTCTTTTAAGTGTACAATATGTCTTGAGTTTTTAAACTGAAAGAGCTTGTAGTGTGTCATACATTTTTTTATTGAAAAAGATGTACATTTAAGTCCTGTTGCTTGATTTTTTCCAAAGAACAATTTTATGTATGTTAATGTACGTGTACGTAAAAATATGTAAACATGTTTGCAATTTAAAGACACATTATGAAACCATACATTATGTATGCATGAACATGTACATCATTCAGACATATAAAATTCCCCCTTGATTCTGTGTATCACCTAGCAACAGGTGCATAGCAGCTGCAGTACGCCACCTGTATGCATGACTCACTGTAACGAAAGCAGACACACAAAAGGGGCGTGTGCAGATCAGCTGTAGAATTAATGGAAAAGCAATTATGGAGGACAAAGAAGGAACAATAGGCCTTCAGCCCAACTGTTCCAATTGGAAACTACCTGCAGTATTGGGCGTAGCTGAATATACATCTGTTCACTTTTAAACGAAATGATGAAAGTCAAAAATATAATTTTGCAGCACATTTAATAGATTTTCAACATTTCTCCTGAAGTTTTGTTTTCCTCAATCATTTCAAATATGTGTATTAGATATTTAGACTTCAGTTTCATCAAAAAAAAGGTACACGTACACATACATGTAACATGCCTAACATTTGAAACAGCTTGATAGATTATTCCTACTAAGACGAACAGCGTATCTTTAAAAATTACCTGTTTGGTTATTTGAACAATCTCAATTAACTTTTGCTAGACTTTGTCAATCCTTGTTTAAATTCATCACAGAATGGCTTTGGGATTCAGGAATTTGTTACATGTACATCATTACAGGAAGTACTGTGTTAAAATAATGTCAGTAGGACCCCACACGCAGGACCATGCGATTGTACTGACTATCAAATGCATGCCATAAAGAAGTACATGTACATGTACATGTAAGACTACTGTGCAGATTTTCAAAGTGACGATTCCCTAAAAAAGCAAAAACAAAGAAACACAATTTGTGTAAATAGACAGCTAGGGCATTACAGTAATTATATTTGAGTCCTTTTCTAAGACTTTCGTAATAGAAAATGTGTGTGGGTAGCACTTGTAGAAATCAGGCTGCAGTGCAAGTACATGTATACATGGGCCAAGTTGTCTACATACCTGTATTTGTACATGTTAGCATGACATGTAGAATGTACATGTTCATGTTAGCATGTACGTGTAGACTGTACATGTACATGTTAGCAAGAAATATATATGTGAAATTCGTTTGATTTGAAGTACATGTTCATGTACATGTACATGTACGTACATGTACTGTACACTTGCAAATCCTAGAGTATATCTAGCATGACTTTTTGTAAACACACTATCTGAGCATAACATTTACATGTGGAAAAAATTCTTCACCTTGTACATTCTAAACTTCATTTGGTTTTCTTTGCAATCTTTGCAGAATTACCAGATTGAAAGCATCCAGATACAAATGGGTGACTCTGTCCGACCCAAGCAGATGGCCATCTTCAAGTCAACAGATGGCATTGCCTTTATTCCGTGGCATTACAAAGTCACATCTAGCAGCGAGTGTACGTCTCAGTTTGAGCTGTCGGTGACTTCCACTGTCAGTCAAACTTCTTCTGTACTTTGTACAGTGTACTCAGGAAGTGCTCAGCCAAGAAATGAAGTGGTAAAATAAACTAGAATTCATCCAGTTTTTGTTCCAAATATGTCCACAGAGTAGTCATTTGTACTAATGCATGAATAATCTTCAACCTTCAAATTTTCAAATTTTACTTTCCATGTTGGCATTAGTCACTGGGCACCAACAGGAGCCATAGTGCCACCAAGGAACCATTTTTTTTTCTTTTCAAAAATAATGAACTGTTTTTTTTTTACTGCTGAAGTTCTCTTCCTTCCAAATGTGTAAAAAGCCCAAAATTCACTATTAACTCCAGAAAGCCCATAGAAAGGTTCAATTTTCATTTTTTTTACCACCCCCCCTAAAATAACAAGTTGGTTCTGTATTCCCCTTTACCTTTAGTTTGATGGATTCAGGAAAAGTTTACTAGCCTCAACAACAATGCGTCAGTGTACATGCATTACATACATGTATATACACTCATGACATTTTCGGGGTGTCAGTACGGTGTCACCACATTCTCTTCATGTGCTGATTGCTTTTACCATTTGTAGACTGGTTTTTTTGCAGTCCTCACACACTGGAATTTGCCAAATGTAACCCTTGGATTATCAATTTAGTCAGAAGTCATTTTCCACAAATACTTCCATGCAATACAGTTTTTCAAATAAAAGTCTTAAAATTTTGGTTAAACTTTTAATAAGCTTTTCCATATTCTTGAGCAAAACTGTGATGTTATCCAAGGAAGAAACCTCAGTATTGCATTGATTTGTGTACACATGTAAAATGGCTTTGGGGATCAGTTTTTTGTGGGTGACAATAATCCTTTGAAGTGCCGTTTGCCAGAACTCAACTGTTTTCATGGAACAAATTTTGGTTTCACCTTATCAATAGAAAAGCTGCTTAATGAACAAAGTTATCCCTGAATTACATCATAACAACAGGGCCCATGGGCGTCGCGAGGAGAGGGAAAGAGGGGACATCCCCCCTTGAAAAAATGGGGAAACATTAAACATTAAAAGTCGGGAAAAAATGAAGCAAATAGAAATAAGACAAGAAACGGGAGGAAAGTCAACCCTCCACCCTTTAACAGGTTTACCATAAGTTATCAATTCTCATAAATTCCCCACCCGATGGGGGAAAATGATTCCCCCCCCTTTGACAAAATCCTGGCAGTGTTCATGATAGGGCTATCATTTGTTCGGAAAAATATGAACAAATTAAAATTGTCAACCCAAAAATGATATCAATCATGAAATGAATTTCCTCATGACATGTACAGTCATCAGTATTAACAGAAGTGTAAAGTAGTACATACATTTACCTATAAAGGCATGTACATGTAAGTTGTACCAATTACGAATTGAGTCTTACCTGAATAGAATCAGCAACTTACATTTATTTTCATTTCATTCTTTTTCTTTGGCAGATAACTTTTGACTTCAACCCTCCACCTAACTTGATTGAATGGCAGCGTGCAAGATATGTGCGATTTAACTTCTACAACATGGAACAGAGTTTTGGTCTTTTCTCAAATGATTATGTGAGAGAATAGATGTTTCTTTTGATCTGAATATCGGAATAACTTTGGGTTTCATTTCATTCTTATACTCCTACATTTTGGAAGACAGTTTGAGCATTCTGATTGGCCAAGAGATTTTCACTTTAGTAGTTTTTATTAGATAAAAAAATGTGGGTGAGAGTTGCTTGTACAGGTATTTCAAATCAGTCAGTAATAATATCCACTGCGCTGCCCATTGTTGAGTCTTAGTAATCAGGTAAGCTTAATTTCCTTGTGGGCAGTATTAAAACCAATGAAAATTAAAAATATGTGTACCATAAAAGATTAAATAGGACAGTTATTAAATAAAATTTCATTAAAAGGCATTTATTCAGAGTTCCAATGTCTGTCTTCATGACAGAGGTTACAAATTTGCTGTCTACTGGATACAAGGTGTTCAATGTACATGTACATAAATACATCACGTTTTTTTGTACATGAACTTATGATGTACATGTATATTGCATCGGCTTACATGTACATCACAATACTGAGACACTCATCCCTTGACAAGCCAGAGTGATGCATTTTGGACTCCAAGGAACAATGGCTAGCTCATCAAACCACCTCGGCACAGCCATGATCACAAAACCTCAGTGTTACTCAAAAAAAACCCACCATTTTTTTGGTGTTTAATTATTAAAGACACAGAAAAAAGATGATTTGGGTGCTGTTCACTGACTAAAATGGCCCAGAGCCTGATTGACAGACAGACAGTCCAACATTAGTGATGAATAACAAATTGTTTTGTTGTTTGCCGTATGAATGATTAAAAAAATTCATAATGTTGGTAGTGGTTCTTACGTGAGAAGTGTATATGTGAGTATTAACTACTGACGATATCTTGGATTTCAGCATCATTACACAGTCCGCAACATCAATGTTCTGGCCCGCTGTGAATGCAACGGCCACGCCTCAGACTGTACCCTGCAGCCCCTGGCTGGGGATCCTGGCCGCATGACCTACCAGTGCGAGTGTGGTGGTAACACTGGCGGGTCCACTTGCAGCGAGTGCCTGCCATTCTACAACCAGTTAGCCTATCAGACAGGCGAGTCAGGCTTCACTTGCCAAGGTCAGTTGGCTCAGAGCTTGTCCATTAGCAGAACTAACATCGACTATCCAACCTCAACCTACATGTATGTTATATTTGTATACTGTATTGGAACAGGCAATTTAAACCCATGCTACATGCTTCAGATCCTCCGTTGTCCTCCATTTCTGAAAGAGGGAAAGCTTGGATTCTGCCAAGTGAGAATAAATATTAGTAAAATGTTCCTGTGTGTTCACTTACATGCAACAGATAAATTTTTTCCGTTTGTGACTTGCTTAATTGTTACTAAACTTTGAAATGGGACCATGCAACAATACGGGCGATTCACGATAGTGCGCCTCCAAGAGTTTCCAACTTGTTGGCCAATCACAAAGCGTGAAATTTATCGACCCTTTCCAAACACTCATTGGGTTGACATATTTCGCGCATTGTGATTGGCCAACGCGTTGCAAACTCTTGGAGGCGCACTATTGTGAAATGCCCATATTGAATTCCACAGTGCATTTCAGTGTTTTTTTTTTCTTCCCAGTTCTCAAGATTTATAGTGACATTTGTGAAATGACCTTTTTGTTTGCTGTCTGTAGAATGCAACTGCTTTGGGCACAGTGACACATGCATCTATGACCCTGCAGTTGGAAGAGTGAATGGTAGCTTGGATTCCAGTGGGAACTACAGCGGGGGTGGTGTCTGCCAAGACTGCCGAAACTTCACTGCAGGTAAAAATCCGCAAAAGTGTGAAAAAAAATGTTTGTAACAGACAGCTCATTGGCTAAAATTAAAGCACAATGGGTTATCTGCTCCGAGCAGAAGAACAGAGGGGTTTTTGGTTTTTTTTAGTCGCCGTATAGGTGCTCTTTGAGGCCCGCAAGTACATGTTTATGCGCATTTGACGTAGAGCACACTGAGTACGCCTAATTTATTGCGGCACGTATGGTCTTTGTGTACACATAGAATATGTGCAAGAACCCACTTGTAACCACCTGTCTTTCTTTCGCTGATTGATGGTGCATTTCAGCTGGGGGCAGACAGTAGTAGTTATCTGTTGTAATATGTCATCTTTGGTTTCCTTTCTGTACCACATTAAGCTTATAATCATAACCAAACCCCTTGGTTAAAAAAAAGACCTTACATCTACATGTACATGTACATCTGAAGCACAAGTTTAACATTTGAGGTTGGAATATTAACCACTTCACGCCAGGGGCATTTGTGAATGTTGATAATGCTGGAACAGGATAAGTTTTCCTTTTTTTCTGTTTTCAGAATTCTTTAAAAATTCATATCTTCATTTACTGGACACATACACCTACACGAAAGGTTTCTACTCTTATCTGACAGACAACATCTATTGGTGTTGATGCTGGAGTATTTCAGCCAGGCCTGCTGCCTTGTAAAAAGAGCCCAGATTGTGCGGTATTATGTAATTTTCTTTTGTTCACAAACATGGCGCAGTGCGCTGCTGACCTCTTTTCAATAGGGGTCAGATTAGCGTGCAGCAGTACTGTTTTGCTCATCGCTGCAGCGGTGGAGTGCTTTGTCCTCAGTAGTAATCTGCTTGCGCTAAATCCCCAAAACCATGGTATACTGTATCAAAACAAGGCTGGATTATCTCCACCATTGAGAGTGAAAAAATGTTGGTAATGCCCAGCAGCCTTGTCTTCTGTTATGAGTACAGTCTTTTGCTACAAGGCCCGGTTCCTTATAAAGATTACGTGTCCGCTACTGGCAACCCCGTCAGCAAGTGGTGAAACGCCCATGAACAATGTTCCTGATGGGAGTTTCAAACTTTCAACCAATCTGCTTAAGTTGCACACACATTTGTTTTCCATTTTGGCAAGGCAAACTTTCACAAACAAACATGGTGCTGAATATCATTTAATTTTTTGTGCACTTTGTAGAGGATGGTGTTAGGAATCCTCATAACTATTCGTGCTTCATGTCAGTTGAAAGTGTGAAGCAGATCATCCATGAGATGTTTAATAGCACAGTTACACTGCAATCTCCTTCACTTGTTGCTTTTCTATGTTGTGTGAACTCGCCATCAGTTATTGAAAGATGACAAATTAGATTGCTTTTACTTCTGTCTTTTTTTAAACCTTCATTCAAGGCATTAACTGTCAGCAGTGCCAACGTTTCTACTATCGTCCGTCTGGCAAGCTCCAGACAGATGAAGATGCCTGCCAGCCTTGCAGCTGTAACATCCCAGGTACTAGGGAGGACCCTAGCACTGGCCTGGTGAAGGGAGAGTGTGTCATGAACAGTGGCAGCCCTAGCCCTAGTGGGATGGTATGCTTTCTTTTTAAGCTGAGTGCAAAATAAAGCTATGTAGTTATTCATCCCTGTCCAATTTTTCCCTCTATTTATCAGTTTTCCTGTTTTGTTTTGAACTTGCAATGTAATTTGATTTTCTCTTTTGTTTTTGATACATGTATCACATCTAGCCATATTAAGTATAGTTTTAAAGCCTACTAAGTGCATGAAACGTTCTTTGCCTCAGACACAAAAGTATGTATCAGCAAAAGAGATCATTTGATCCATGTGCCAAGTATGCTGTGGTGAAAAAAATGAAAAGTAGCTGCTGTCGCAACTTAAAAACACCTTAATGAGAATTTTTACCAGATCCTGTAGGGATTTCTAGGAAAAATACAATTCACCCTTTCATTCTCCTATGATACCAGAAGTTTGCCATTCTTTCATCAAAAAAGTCATTTCATGTACAGTATTCTGCCTCTGTCGATTTCATCTATTTTATCACTAGCTGCCAGGAGATTGCTACTGTAAAGTCAATGTACAGGGATCCAAGTGTGAAGAGTGCAAAGATGGATTCTATGATCTCACAGATGCCAACTCCAATGGTTGTCTGAGTAAGTGCAGTGATTGTCTGACATCAAACTTGATTTCCTTTCCTTTTAAAGCCTGAAAGGAAAAGAAATACATAGAAATAATTATTTTTCCAAATGCGAGTTTTTTCTTTTCCCCTCACCCTCGCAGCTGTATCAATGTAAGTGCTGTTTATAAACATGGGGTAAAGAGCATATAGAAGCATTATGTCAAACTTCATTAACAAATACTTCAATCGACAAATTGACATTGTTCTAGTCAGCTGCAGTTTTAACAGCCATCCAGACAAATTAAGAAGATTTAATTACCAAAATTCCCTTTTCAGTTTTTGAGCTCATAGCAAACGAAATATGTTCAAATATATTCATTTGAAACTTTGTATTAGCATTGGTAATTAAAGAAGGGGAAATGTTACCAAGCCAATATATGTGTCATGTCATGCCTTTAATTCGCATTAGTCATGTCATTTTGGTACTTTCTTTAGTACTCAAGTATTTGTATGATAACTGATTACATTGTTCTTGTATTTCTCGTTCTAAAACAGAAGAATGTTTTCTAAAAAAATCTTTTCCTGTCTGCCCAGGCTGTAATTGCTTCACTGCGGGGACGGTGTCTGCGTCTAACATATGCAGCAAGGACGCCACGGGCCAGTGCCCCTGCAAGAACTTCACCATCGGCCGCCGCTGTAACCAATGCATGGATGGCTACTACGGCTTGGCTGCTGACAATCCAGAGGGGTGCTCTGCATGCTCTTGTGATGCCGGAGGGGCCCTCAGTGCAACCTGTGACAAGGTGTCTGGGGTCTGTGCTTGCCGGAGCAACATTGAAGGCAGACAGTGCAACAGGTTAGATTCCGGGTGCTTCTTAATTCTTCCATTTTACATTGAACAGGTTGTAGACTAGGCATGTTACTCTGAACTAAATCAAGTGTTTTTCAGTAAAATGGTCAGACAAGTTTCCTGCATAATAATCCAGCTGGCATCAAACAGCCATTCCAGTCCTTGAGGTTTTCTCATGAGCACAGACAGTAATTCATTGAATGGTACAAGGTTTTTTCATACTGATGAATGCTTATTTGACAAATGTAATCAACACTGTTAAGTATTTTACCAGGCTCTTCTTGCCTACACATAATTTTCTGTGGCCAATATTTGCCATCGGTCAAAGTTGCCATTAACATAATATATTCGAGGTCAGCACACTAAAGAGATGGTCCTGACAGTCCAAGTATGGATAAGTTGAAAATGCTAAGTCTCCTAATGATTTGTAAAGTCATTTATTTTGCGGTGATTTTACTTAAACTGTACAGTTGGGAGGAACCGCTTGCCCCCCTGCCCAGCATACCACAGTAATTCTGTTGCTGCTTCCATGATTCCAGTGCAATTTCTCAACAAAGTGGTCATGTCTTAATACATGTATCTGTACTGTGAAAGTTAACATTTTGAACACGGTCACTTCAAACAACCAACCAACTGGTATATTGTGAAATTACATGTACATCAACTTGTTCTAATTCAATGACTACATGTAAGTCCTTTGCCCAATCTAAATACAAAAAAATGGTGTGAAACAATGACTAATGTCAAATTCTTTAAAAAATTTTATCCCCTAATTTATAAACAAAAAAAATTTCTTGAAGGGGTTGTGCTGTAGGTGCACTCAGCCCGCACATTCCAAGGCACTTGGGCAAAGTTTCATCGATAAGCCAACCGGCCTAGGCAACCATCTCGTCCTTGCCTCACAGACTAGTACACTCTAGAGTTGCACCCTTACAACTTTATGATTCTTCATTCATTCAGTTGTGTTTGAATAAATTTTTCAGTTTGACAGCATTTTCCTACTACCCTACCCTGCACTCGATCAGTGCCGAGTTTGAAAGCATCGACCACACTTATTGGGAGAGAGACAGTGTAACATATCCTGGCTTCAGCTGGTATGGCTACGTCACCCTCACAGGCCAGGTAAAGACACCTGTTTTGCTGGTTTGGTCATAGTTTGTTGGTTGTAGTAGTTCAGAAGTACTATATCGGTCATTAGGGTGGAGACACTTGGGGGCCCTAGTAGAACTCCATGTTCTTCTCATCTATTTGAAATCTTGAAGTGTACACAATCTTCATACAAGCCACAGTTCATAGGCTTTTGAGACCCCATAAAAATGTTGGAAACCCCGGATGCCCTCAAGAAATGTCACCCCAATTACATGTACGTCACTAGTCAAAGTAGGGCATAATGGTTAGTCCAGAACTGTGCACCATCATCTGAGACGAAATTCCTCAGATGTGACATCTTAGTGTTGAAATAAGCTTACACTGAAGATGTATGCTCTGCTTTATGTGCAATTACATGGGGAAATGTAATCAGAAATAGTTAAAGGGCTGTATCATGGCCTGAACTTTCAGTAAGATTGGAAAGGCACACATCAGGGATTGTGGGTATACCCACCATCTCCTTTCATTTACTGTGTAAACAACAACTCGAAAAACAGTGGTGTAAAATTATTTAGCAATCATGCTAAATTGGTTGTCAAGCTCACCGCCAGCAAAAGACAGAAATGAATTAAAATTTGGTGAATAATATACCAGCTGAGTGGCTGTACTCCAAAAGGATTCAGCAGATATAGACCCATAAGAGCATACTTCATTGACGACCAAGAAAATTTAAACTGATCTCTGAACATGTTCTCCAGATGTCCACCACAACAACGCTGACTGTGCCCCCCTCCCAGTTGAGAGGAACCTTTGAGATTCTCCTGCGGGTGGCCAACCAAGGTACTACGCAGGTGGACCTGACCATTTCCAAGAGAGGGGCGACGGATGGAGCCAAACAGAGGGGCACCGTCAGCCTCCCCCTCTGCCCTAGCTGGTGCCTTGATGGTGTGGCACAGAACGTGGATGTCAGCCAAGGGTCAAGGTTCACGCTGGGTGCCGGGGAGTGGGACATCACTATCACCGTGAACCTCCAGGGTGGGGCAAGAGTACTTTTTGTAAGTTTCATAAATTTTTCCCTTTGCATTTGTAAACATATTTTTAACTGAACGTGTTAAATTTCAACATTCCACAAACATTACTTATTTTTGTACTTAAGCTCGAAGTCAAATTGTTATTATTGAACAACTTGTACCATAAAATGTTTTTAATAAAGAAATGCTGAAAAACTATTATTTTCTGCCTCCAGCTTCATACAGATGGGTCATGGAAGCTGACTGTATGCCCCAAAAAGCAAACTAAAAACAATGAAACAACACATGCCAAAAATGGAGGAAATTGCATGGGTTGCATCCTGAGTGTTTAGGCGTATGAGACACAGACCATGCAAGAGTAAATGCCCACTTGCAACCCTCAAGGAGCTAGTTTGGCAGCCAGACTTTGTAGAAGTTATGTGTTCATGTGCCCTCAGAGAGTAGCAGTTTTGTATCAATGGGACGTGCTCGAGTAAACCAGTTGTACATTCATTATAACTAATTAGATTAAACAAAAACAGCCTCTGAGACACCATGGAGACACCAGCAATGTATAACCCCTATTGATAGATTCAGTTCATCTTCACCTGAAGTCCATCTTTCCCCTTGCATTTATTTTCAACTCTAGGATCAAGTTGTTGCACTGCCTATAGAGTTCTCTGAACCCTCATCACTACTTGGAGAGATGGCTTCTGATTTTACAACTGTGTGTGATGTGTACAACAATAACATGAGGTATTTTTACGTGTATCTCTTATTTGACTGTAGCAGGCTTACGTGTACCATACAGTGCCACTATACCGAACTCTGCTATTCTGCATAACCGAGGATACAAACATTCCCAAATTCTTTGTACACTTTTATTGAACATCAAAAATTTGCTTGAATAAAAGGAATAGGATCGATGATAATGACTTGAGAGGTAAGATAAATCTTGTTCATTAACCATATGCTGCCAGGCATAATTTTAAGTTGCATGACATATACCTGGGGGGTTTTCAAGATTTTCCATTTTAAAAATTCTTCAAAAATTCATAACTTCATTTACTGGACTTTTACACCCACACGAATGACTATCTGGTGGCTACTCTAATCTGACAGGGGTCAAGTGATATTTGGCACAAATGCAAGGATTTTATCTTTTACAAAAATCATCTTAACAGAAAATATATACACAATGACTTAACTCGCACGAATCTTTATTAAAAAGTTTGCCAGTTTCGATCGTTTTGAACAGTGCTTTTCTGAGTTTGAACATATTGCTAACTTTGAATGTGAACCATGGTGGGGCCAGTGCAGTAGAATGGGCCAACCCAGCTCATCTGTTGTAGTGCAAATGTAGCTGTGGGAACCAGTGTACATGTAACTACTGCATGTTGCATGCAATTCTGAAGTGATGTCTCAAGGCAAACTTGATTTCACTTTGTGATTGGATTTCCAGCTAGAACTTCCTGTTAAAGGCGAAATGTGGAATGAAAGAACATGCATTGAACAAATGAATTGAACATTGCACAAAGTTGCGTGTAATTGGAAATTATTTGCCAGAAAACCCCATTCTGACGCATTTGTGAGGCAGGATGCCCCACATTTGAGCAGGCCGTAGCCAGGAATGGGTTCATTTACACTGGAAATTACTATTCTGAATGACCACATTACCAAACATTTTGTGTGCAAAGGGTACATGTACAGTTAGGAGTGATACTTTGGGGTAAATCTTTTCACTCAGTATTCCCCTATGAAGCTGATATAAAAAATGCAAACGTGATCAATTCAGCAGTTGGGTTTTTTTGGTTTGTGCATTTCTCTTTCACCCCTCCAAGCCTGTGGCTGGAAATTGAGTACATGTTTGCATGATGGACATGTATCAGTTATCTCAACCATAAGTTTGTGACCTCTCGTTCCCATAAACATGTACTTATAATTATACATACAAGATATATATGTGCCATCGCATTATTGAGTTTTTAAAAAGACTTCTTGATACCGCAAAGAAGACATAACATTTTTTTCCCATGTTTTTAGGTGTTTTTACGACTGTTCAATTGGAATTCATGTCAAAATATAATGCTTTGGCTTTTGTGCTTCCAAATATTGAGGCAAAATTTATGAATTGCACCAATGAAGTAGCCCTAATTAGAATCCATTACTACGATGTCACCATGCTTGTTGACATCTGACAAATACATGTATGTGCGAGTAACATTCTGATTAGACTACATGTATATTACCCAAATGCATACATAATCAAGTCTGAGAACTCAAGCATGAGAGTGGTGCCACCATTGAAATAACATTTTGCTATGGTTAGTTTATTTATGCTGCACAAGAAAATGTCATCTTCTACCTCCACACTTTTCTCCAAAAGGTCTGGGGATTTGTTCCCAGAATCCCTCTTCTGTACTTGATTAACCTGTAAACTCTAAGACTTTGGTCAAACGTTAAAAGTGAAATCATACACTACGGCCTCTGTAATGGGCGAGGTGCATGTCATGTGGCTCAGGCAGTGCAATCAACATGCGTTCAATAACTTAGCTACATGTACTGTACATTGTATGTAATGAAACAACTGTCATTTACACTGTTTGGAAAAGACTGACGCACGTACGTACCATGTATCCCTCTATAATATTCAAGCTGTTAAACTGCTTGATATATATACATGTATAAAAAGCTAATAATTTTCTTATGACTAGGGAAATTTTTATTGAACAGCAATTTGATTTTCTTTCATCTCAGTGCTGTTTTAAATACTTCGCTTTTCAATGAATGATTACAACATAACAACATTGACATATGAAAAAATCACTATGGAACAAATAACCTCACTGTTAACAAAGTTTCTACACAAAAATGAATTGCAGTGTTTACCTGTACATACAATATTATTTGCAAGCTTTTATAAAGTACACTTACAGAATAAATGCAGATTTTGACTTTTTATGTACATGTATCTGATTTGCATGAAACATACATGTACATTAATTACAACTGTTTTTCAATGAATGATTACAACACTTACCAAGTACAAGTGCTCACAAGTTAAAATTGTGACTTCTTTATTTTCAACTTCTTTATTTTCAAGCTTTTATAAAGCACACTTACAGAATAAATGCAGATTTTGACTTTTTATGTATATATATCTGATTTGCACGAAACATACAGTACATGTACATTAATTACACCTGTATTTACAAATCATCTATATAACAAGCTGTTACAAAATAATTCCAGATTACAATTGTGACTGTCTTAAAACGAACTCCAGTGCTTTCAAATTATTTACAATTAAGACCCAGCCACATGTACACATGATACAGATTACATGTACAAATTTCACTGAAATGGTTAACCCACAAAACAAAACTTGTAAAGTTTGTAATGGAATGGAGCAAAAACTTTCTTTCAGCAGTTACAGAGCATTTCCAAATGTGTATAAATCAGTGTTTATGTCAAGTTCGTCACAAGTCCTTTCACAAGACCCTTCACTAGTCCAATCAGAAGTCCCCTAACAAGACAAGTTGAAAAATGACAAAGCAGTTTTTGTTGCAGTTCATGTGAATAGATCGTGATTTGGTTTATAATGAATGACTGTGAAAGACCTGCATGGACTTACATGTATAATGGACTCCAGTACAACACTGGTGTAAAATATAAGGTGGTGTTCATCGCCTTTTTACATGTACGTGCAGGAGCTCTAATGTGATTAAGACACACTTTCATTTTTTAGTGCTAAAAAATTCATCTCTATGAACAAAATGTTTGTTTAAATGATATAAAAATATTTCCACTTTTGTATACGTAAACATGCGCGTACATGTACATATACATGTATATTGTACATGGATGCGAAAAGCTGAGCCATCTGACTTCATAGGTGTTGGCAGTCTGCCAAAAAAATCTTTTTAGTAGTGTGCTTAAGGCATGGAATGAGTCATGCAGATGCCAGTTATGACACAAATTAAAATTTTCTCTTAGTCTGGCAAACTTTATAGGGAAGTGTGTAAATTCAGAAAACAAAGTAGATCAGAGAAACTGCAAACGAGTGATTTTTTTAAATCTTGAAACCTAATAGCTGCAGGTATATCATTTGCACCTCCATACCCCCCTTCTGGTTGTGTAGGCCTACATGTACATGAACACCAGAGCTAAAACAGTGTCACTTTAGACAGAGTACTGGATGTAAAAATGAAGGTGGCTTCCATAGTTGCTCCAGAAGTACTGAAAGCTCTGTTACACATTCAGAAAACATTTTTGTCACTTAAGCCTACCTGTGAATTAGCCCCTGCAGTGAGCAAATTGCCAAGTTGTATGATTCATTAGTTTATTAGTTTTGGTGCAATTTCAGCCATTTTAAGGCATTTTTACGGAACATCTTACTCGTGAGTATGTATATTATCGGATTGACCCAGCTGCTACTGCTTGTGGTTACGTAAGACAATGCTTGCAAGAATATAGCAGTGTTGTCAAAATTAAAGTAGCATGTGTACAGATCGGCAATGAATCTTGGGAGCCAGGTAATAAGAAAGGCAAGGTTGACAAGCAGAAGCATCCGAAGAGCCTTCCATTCTGCAAATGATCTCACCCCAGGAAGGTGAGGCGGTTGGTCATTCCTGCCCTCCCTGTTGTGAGCTGGGACTGGTTGTTGGCGGATTCGCATTGCCTGGTGGTGACTTACCTTCATCAACTTTGTGTAGATGCCCACCAGCACAGCATTCGGTAGAAGAATGGTGAATGAGTGGAGGAAGGCTGACGCCATGCAGTAGGTGGTAATGCTTGGGTAGCAGCCCATGATGTAGGGCTCGTACGTTACTTTGTGCAGGCTGATGACAATCAGTGTGAATGCCATTATTAGGCTGGACACGATTATTGTAGTCACAGTGGCACGTCTCTTCGTAATCAAAGTGAGGTACCGTAGTGGTCGAGTAACTGCAAGACAACGGTCAACTCCGATGATCACCAACACAGAAATGGACATTATAAACAATGCCAACTGGACAACAGCGTTCCCCTTGCAGATGAAAATACCAGCTTCATTCACCTCAGTAGCTCGGATAATAAGACTAATCACGAAGGTTATGCCAATTAAGAGATCAGTGAATGTCAGTGTCAGCATAAACACCCTCGTCCCATCCGGCACATCAGTATCCGACGTTACTCGTATCACCAAGAAAGTGAAGAGATTCCCCAAGGTGGCCATCACACCAGTGACTGTATCAGTGGCAAAGAAGAAAGCTCCGTCAAAGGCAGAATTATTTCCATCAGCCCAGGCTTGCCAAGATGTGTTCATTCTTAAGTGTTTTATATTGGTTTTGATTTTCTGGGTTTTTTTTTTTCAAATTGAGGCGACCAAGGCTTCTTGAATGGTGGTCCTGTGCAACTCAGATATCAGACATGTTTGGTTTTTACCATTTTCCCGATATGACTTTGGCAGTGTAAATTAGTGTTTTATGTCACTGAAGAAGGCTTGTTCATGCTAGTAGAGGTTTAAATGGAACTGTTAACATGCATGAGCTTTGGAAGATCAGACCAAAAGTGTCAACATTCAAACACTGCTTTCCATAATTACAAGTCTCCTTTCCCAGAATCATCTGGCACTAACAGTTGCAGTCCAGCAGCTTTCCGTGTGGTACATGCCTCCTGTGGGTTTTATTCAGTCAGCTCTAAATTATCCATGCACAGCAACTGGTTAGAATTGACAGGTTGATGAAATTGGCATCCAGCGTTTCTAATTGAAC